AGTTAGAACTTTTTGATACTGATTTAAATAATATATTTTATTCAGTGATACCAACTTTCAAGACGTGTAAATTATGTTAGCTTTTACACCACGTATATTATAAACTTTKTAGTATTTAATATAATATTACATTTTTAAGTTGAGTACCTATTAGGTATTATATGACTTAATTATATATTTATATCACATACCTAGAGATAAGGAAAAATATTAGTTTAGCAACTTATTGATTTTTTTTTCAAAATTAACCACATTATGTCAATGATATGTTTATACCGCATATTATCTTATCACACCAAAAAACAAAAATAGGCGGTAAATACTCGTACGCGCCAGAATTGTATTATGGCACAAGAATAATTTGTATTATATCAGTAGTATAATCTTATTTTAAGAGTTTAGAACTATTTCATTCTTAATTATTGTTTAGAATGAAAAGGTTGTATAACTGTCAACTGATATTTCTCAGTTTCGCCTTTATCATATTCATATGTGTATGAGTTAGAACCTTTTCATATTCTATATCTCATTGAATAATCAACGGATCRATACGATTTTAATATTGATTTATAYAAGAATAAAATATTAATGATTTTCAAAAAAATTGATTAAGAACCTTTTCATTCTGAGACGACGAGTGTGGCTAAAATATTGGAGGAAAACACTCGAAATTGTAGTCGAAAATAATATGGAAGAAAATGGAAACTAACCTTTTTTTGTGGAGAAAAATGGATAGTGGAGGAAAACGGTATCTCGTTTTTCGAGRAAAATGGAAAATGGAACTGCTCCTTTCCGTGAATGTGATCACTGCTGCAGTAGGTTAACAAATATGGAAAAGCGAAAGAGAGAATAAAAACACTTACTTATTCAATATTTGATGAGTTGCAAAAATATTCGATAAACCTGAACTTTACAGTTACCTATAAAAATAGTATAATTAATAAATAGGGTGTTTCACCGTACAGACTATGGAAAAATATAGTGAATATTTATTATAATTGTTTAAAACCTAATTCATTAGCGTGTTGTCTGATAACGAAACAACTAACTTATTGAACATACAAAYGAATAATCAAAAAGAAAATAATAAAGAAGATTAGTGATGATACGTTGTGGATATAGTGATGAAACAGCTGTCAGTACCTAATAAAATATAACAAATTAATTAGGTAAGTAAACTAAATTAACAGGAAAAATGGTGGTTGTTTAGTTCAACTGCTCCGTACAAAACATATAATAATCGTTTAATCTCATTATTAAATAATAATTACTCATTTCATATCAGAATAATATTATAATTTATAATATTTCATTTTATATTTTAGGCTATAATATGGAGAATAGTACACAATATAATATTATATATTAACAATTTCATTTTTTATTTTAAATGTTTTTTTTTCAATTATATTTTACCATGCTTTTTTAAATTGCTAAGAATAATAACTTAACATAAACTATAATAAGCGGAACTCGCCGTTTTAAATTTTCTATCCTTACGTGAAATGACAATAGCGTAAAAAATGTGTGGTTTTTATACGAATAACAATTCACACAATCATAATTACATAACTCAAYATCATAATTCCAATGACCGCGACCCAGTGACGGGGTGTAAAAATTATGAAGGTGAGAATATTATAAGATGGGATTTAATATGGATTTTGAAATAATATACCTACTTTTTCAGTTTTCCATTAGTTCCAGTAAATTATGAAATGGTATCTTTGTTGAAGCGTAAGTCGATAATTGAACTTGTATTATTGATAATAATAATAGTTACTTACCTATATCTTTTATAAAGTTTTATTGAGAGAAGATCATATACTTTTGTGATATAACATTGAAATGTTTCTGTGAAATTATGTTGAACTTACGAGTCGCGATATTGAAACCAAAGATACCGGGGCACGATGATAAAGGCGGATATACCGTAATTCATGCAGCGTATATTATCATTTAGCACTTTTAATATGAAAATTGACACTGATATTTTGGTATCCATTTCAAATACCACTGCTATAAAATAAATATACTACAACCATGGAACTATACATACAATTATTTTGAACGTTGATTTTTTAATTAAATTTTATTGTATTCGTTCAACGTAAAAAACACATTTAAAAATCTACCGACTATTATATTATATGAATTGTAAAAAATTAACTAGTTACGTGTATTATAATTTATATTACCACATTATTGGATACTTGTAATGCAATTATGCTGTGTTGTAGAAATGAATAATAAGTTCACCGTAGTAAGACGGATGCCGCAACAAGAAATGTCGTAAAGCTGATTTTTCATTGAAACATTTCTAAAAACGTTGATATTTAATAAGAATACGTTGAATATTTGACCAATTATCAATAATAATGTATCGTCGTTTAAAATTCGGAGAAGAGACCTTAAGTCTATAATAGTTCCGGTTCATTAAATAAAGTTGGTAACTTACTATGAAATATTTAACAATAACTGCATAATATTATGTTTTGTTTTAAAATAATTACATTCATGTTTATATCTTATATAATATCTTAGTTTTCAAAACATCATCATTATTAAAATTCAGACAACAGCTCGCCAAAACGCTGTTATAGTTGCTTGTTGCTTATAACTGCTTGTTGAGTAGTTTGAAAACCTAGATCTGCAGAAAAAGGTCAATGGCTCAGCAACACAGCTATAGCAGGTGACTTGTACCCGATGGGGACAGAAAAAATAAGTTGACATTGATAACCACTAATATAATTATCTGACAAAGAATATAAGTAATCTCAATCAGTCTATATATATATATATATAGGCAGTATAACGATAAAATTATATTATTTATAAATCAGAAATGTATTACAGTAATAACGCTAATAAATTTTGATTTGTGAATATATTAAACCTGCATAAGTTGATTTATGTAACATGGTAATTTCAAGCCTCCGTTGTAAGGAACAATTATGTATACATTTT